CTTGGGAACTGACGATCTGTTGGAGTGTGAGCTGGGTAATATTTAGTGAGGGATATTCAAGGGGAACCGGTTATTTTCATATAGTCGGACTTGAGTCCTGGAAATGGGAAGTACAATGCCTGCAACTTTAAGGAGGGGTTTGGGATATTGAAGTTTGGACGGGAAATGTTGAGTATCTTTATATGTTTATGCTTTAGACTGTTGTATGTACTGGCACCTCTGCAAAAAAACAGTGTTAATGGTGCGTGTGTGGTGAAAGTGTTGAATGATGATGCAGTATTTTCTTTTTGGGGATTTTCTTTCTTTTTTTGGGTACCCTTGCCTCGGTGGGGCACGTCGACTTGTTGAAAAAAAAAAAAAAAAAAAAAAAAAAAAAAATAACCCTACGTATACTTTTCCTGGATATACTAGTATACTTATTCCTCTATAATTTTTACAATCCTCTTTTGTCCCTTTCCCTTTATATAAAGGGACTTATACTTGCTTCCGCCAATTCCCGAGGTACCCTTTCCCCTCTTTCATGACATTTAATTAAACAAAGTACAACCATCTCCAACCACTATTATCCCCCCCTGCTTTTAATCTTTCTGTCATGATCCATCAGGTTCCAGTGCCTTTACCCCTTTCATTCTACGCTAATGCATCTCGTTCCTCTCACACCCTTACATTCTGCTCTTATTCACTCCTAAAGATGGTATACCCCTGGCCAGGCATGAAAATTTACCGCCCCTCCTTTCTTCCTTAACATCTTAAAAGTTCCTCAAAATATTCTCGCCCATTACCTATTACCTCCCTCTCCCCATCTACTAACTCCCCACTCTGTTTTTAACTGACGAATCCATACTTTCCCCTAGGCTTTCTTAAACTGGTTATACTCACCTCCAAAATTTTTTCTTATTTTCATTAAATTCTTGACAGTGCCTCTCCCACTCTATCATTGCTCTCCTTTTGCACTCTCTCACCACTCTCTTCCCTACCTTTTTTTTTTTTCTTTTTTTTTTTACCTCTACATATACTCTGCTCTTCTTATAACACTTCTGTTTGTAAAAAACCTCTCGTAAGCTACCTATTTCTCTTTTAATCACACCCTTTTAATTCATCATTTCCACCAATCACTCCTCTTTCCTCCTGCCCCAACTCCGATAACCACAATCTTCTGCCCCCCCTCATTCTAATACTGCATTTTAAAAACTATTCCAACCCTCTTCAACCCCCCACTATCATCTTTGCACTAGCCACCTTTCTGCCTATAGTCGATTATATCTCGCGCCGAACTTCCTCCTCCCTTAGTTATACACTTTCACCTCCTCTTACTTGTTGTTGCCACCTTTCCTCTTTTCCATCTACTCATACTCTAACTGTGCTACATCTAAATATGATCCGATATATCAGTTGCCCTCTATAAACATGTACATCATGGAGCCTTACCATCAACCTTTTTCCACCAATACTAATCTAACAAACTACTTTCATTACGTGCTTCTATATACCCTATATATTTATTATCACTCTTTTTCATAAATTATGTATTACTTATTACCAAATTCTTTCTACACATAGCTCCAATTAAAGGCTCCTATTTAATTACCCCTGGCACCAAAATTACCTACTATCCCTCCATAACATTTTTACCCACTTTAGCATTGAAACCCCCAACCACCATTACTCTCCACTTGATTCAAAACTCCCCACGCATTCACTCAACATTTCCCAGAATCTCTCTCTTCCTCTACACTTTCTTTTTCTCCAGGTGCATACACGCTTACTATAACCCACTTTTCAAAACCCAATCTTTATTTTACTCCACATAATCTTGAATTTATACATTTGTAGCCCCTCTTTTCTGCCATAGCTTATCCTTCAACATTATTGCTACTCCTTTTTTTGCTTTTAACTCTATTTGAAACCCCTGAACCTATCCCCATTTTATTCTCTCCATTGAAAACTCTCCCACCCCCTTCAGGCTTTGTTTACTTAAAGCCAGGACATCAGTTTCTTCTCATTCATAAACATCCACAATCATCTCTTTCTTATCATCTGCACAACATCCAACGCACATTCAGACTTCCCACTTTGACAATTTTCTTCTTCTTATTCTTTTTAGTAATCTTTACAGGAAAAGGGGTTACTAGCCCATTGTTCCCGGCATTTTAGTTGACTTTTACAACACGCATGGCTTACGGAGGAAAGATTCTTATTCCACTTCCCCATGGATATAAAAGGAAAAGTAATAAGACCAAGAACTATTAAGATAAAATCAAAGAAAACTCAGATGAGTGTGTATAAATAAACGTGTACATGTATGTGTAGTGTGACCTAAGTGTAAGTAGAAGTAGCAAGAAGTACCTGTAATCTTGCATATTTATGAGACAGACAAAAGACAATTTATTCAGATAAATTTATTCAGGTATACACAAATACAGTTACATAGGTTATCACACATAGCAGCATGTGTGTAAAGTACCTAGGATAACCCAAAAAAGTCAGCGTGACTTACTTCCAGTGCCTTCACTCAGAGCATCATTTCTTCAAAAAGTGGTGTTACATGAGAATGGGATTGTTCCTCTTTATTTATTCTACCATATCAATGTAGAGACAACTTGTACAAAATATAACTTGTTTACAAAACTGGCGGTCGCCTGGTTTGTTTACATAACTCTGCCCACCCCCCCCTCTCTCTCTCTCTTCTCTCTCTCTCTCTCTCTCTCTTTTCTCCCCTTCTCTCTCTTTTCTCTCTTCTCTCTCTCTCTCTTCTGTCTCTCTGTCTCTCTGTCTCTCTGTCTCTCTGTCTCTCTGGGCTCTTGTCTCTGTCTCTCTCTGTCTCTCTCTGTCTCTCTTTTCTCTCTGTTCTCTCTGTCTCTCTCTGTCTCTCTGTCTCTCTCTGTCTCTTTTGTCTCTCTCTGTCTGTCACTCTCTCTCTCTCTCTCTCTCTCTCTCTCTCTCTCTCTCTTTTCTCTCTCTCTCCCCTCTCTTCCCCTCTCTCTCTCTTCTCTGTCTCTCTGTTTTCTCTGTCTCTCTGTCTCTCTCTGTCTCTCTGTCTCTTGTCTCTCTCTCTCTGTCTCTGTCTCTCTCTGTCTCTCTCTGTCTCTCTGTCTCTCTTGTCTCTGTCTCTCTCTGTCTCTCTGTCTCTCTCTGTCTCTCTCTGTCTCTCTGTCTCTCTCTGTCTCTCTCTGTCTCTCTGTCTCTGTCTCTCTCTGTCTCTCTGTCTCTCTCTTTTCTCTCTGTCTCTCTCTGTCTCTTGTCTCTCTCTGTCTCTTGTCTCTCTCTGTCTCTCTGTCTCTCTCTGTCACTCTCTCTCTCTCTCTCTCTCTCTCTCTCTCTCTCTCTCTCTCTCTCTCTCACACACACACACACACACACACACACACACACACACCTTATTTACTCACCCCTGACCCTACATTAAGACTGCAAATATTTTAAGGTAAGTAACGAGTGAACTGTATATGCATTTTATCGCTCTGGGATGCTTAAATATCATAGAATATTATGTGTGGGTGGGTTAGCCTGGCTGGCTACCATACATACCGCACTTGATTTCTTACAATAAATACTACTTGTCTCACCCTAGATTAAGACTACAAATATTTTAAGGTAAGTAATGAGTGATCTGTATATGCATTTTATTGCTCTGGGATGCTTAAATGTCATAGAATATTATGTGTAGGTGGGGTTGCCTGGTATGGTAGCCTGGCTGACTACCATACATACCACACTTGATTTCTTACAATAAATACTACTTGTCTCACCCTAGATTAAGACTACAAATATTTTAGGGTAAGTAATGAGTGCACTATATATGTATTTAACTTTTTTATTGTTTTTTAGTGCCTAGTTCTATTGCTAATGTAATATATGTTAGTGTAAACTTGTTATCTAGTATTTGTATGCATTTATAAGTGGGAAAAAAGGGTGTTCCACTTTACAGCGATAGCCTGGAACCTAACCTGCCTTATAAGTGGGGCCCTACTGTAATTCAGTTATTGTGTGTAAGATAAATAAAAATGGCTATCTCTGCAGAAAGACCTAGGTAGATTGAGCAAATGGAGTGAGAGAGGGCTTGTAATGAAAATGGGAGAAAGGGAAGACAGGTTGCAGGAAGAATATAGATTTCATAATAAAATATTAAAGTTATCAGACAAAGGTAGATCTAGGAATCATCATTAAAAAACAAAATTGTTTCTGGAAAATCACATGAATGAAATAGTTTGAAACTTAAATGTGGCACTAGCCAACTTTAAGGTATTAGTAGGTTTTAAAGATATATGGATGGAGAAATGCTGAAACAAGCTGCTCACAACACAGTTGTCCAGAATTGAAATGTACAGCATTGTTATTATGCCTGCACTTGAAAAATGTGAACAGGATAGAAAAAGTTCAAATATGTACTAAAAATAGCTAGAGTATTAAAAGATACAAGTTATGAAGAGAAGCTGAAGGCATTACATATGATAACTGCAACCACTGGAAACTTTTTTTTTTAAACAATTACCATAATTAACTAACGAAGACGGAACACTTCAAGTTTAGCTCTTCTTCCGTTTTTGCAACTAGGTAATTACTGTGCTATAATTGACTTTTTGTTTCGTGTATTTTTTGTTATCGTTTCAATGATTTCATGTATGTTATCATTTTTGCAAATGTGGTGAGCTCTTATACAGTGGACCCCCGGCTTACGATATTATTTCATTCCAGAAGTATGTTCAGATGCCATTACTGAACGAATTTGTTCCCATAAGGAATGTTGTGAATTAGATTAGTCCATTTCAGTCCCCCAAACATACACGTACAAATGCACTTACATAATTGGTCGCATTGGGAGCTGATCGTAAACCGGGGGTCCACTGTATTTGTTTTTAGGGCTTAATTAGGAATAGAGTAACTAAAGAAAGGTTTTCATTTCTTTATTTAATGAGATTCATATAATTTTCTCCAGACATAACAATTCTTTCAATAAATATATCTCATTCATCATTAGAATTTTTCCTGCTTTATCACAGGAGTAATGCAGCAATTAATCTTGGCTAGTGGTAGTGATGATGATATGGGATCTTTACTGGGTCTTCTGCATTCAGCTCCTCCAACAGAATTACAGCTAAAGATTGATATCCTCAAGGTAATTTCTCATCATTTTGTTCTAGGTGAAAAATACTTGTGGATCATATATTTGAAATGCATAAAAATATTAGCTACATCTGTTACATGCAGCTGTAGCTGGCAAAATACAGAGATATGATAAATTTTTAAAAATTGTAATATAATAAATATGCTTTATTTACATTTAATTTAATGGTAATTTTTTCTAACTTATTTGTATTTTTCAGTCCCTCCTTGTGTGCTTAAAAGAATCTCATCGAACAAGAACAGTATTTCGCAAGGTTGGAGGCTTTGTGTATGTGATGAGTGCTCTTGTGAGTTTAGAAGGGAGTTTAGGGGATGTGTTACCACCTGCTTGGAGCACTGTGCCTTCTCGACAAATTCTTACCCTCCTGCTCAATGTTTTTAATACACTTACTACAGCCATGAGATATGAACCAGCTAATGCCAAATTCTTTCATCAAGAGGTAAGTTTTGATATTGTGAGAGTGTTAAGTTGTGATTGACAATACTTTTATTGCTAAACATAATGAAGGCAGATTCCTGGGCCTACACCTTCATAGCAACCTGAAATTCAGCACCAATATCCAACACAAAAAAAGTATCCAAAACGGTTGGGATCCTTTTCAAGATATGTTATTACGTGCCACAATCATCCCTACTCACACTATACTATTCACTCATCTATCCCTACCTCACCTATGCTATTTTTGTCTGGGGATCAACAGCAACAACCCACCTAAAGTCAATAATAACCCAACAAAAAGCCTCAGTAAAAATTATCACACAATCCAATACTAGGCAACATCGCTCCTCCCCCCCACTCTTAAAAGACCTAAACCTACTCAATGTACAGAACATCCACACCTACTACTGTGCAACCTACATTTACAGAACCATAAATTCTGATATTAATCCTGAACTAAAACACTTTCTTGATATAGTTGCAACAGGCTGAACCTCTACAAAAATTCAATATACATACAGTGGAACGTTATTTAACACGAGTTTATATGGCACGATTTTGTTATAGTATGATTGAAAAATTGCGGCTCAATTTTATACAACACTTCATAAAATTAACTTTACATGGTTCTGTTTGTGGGTGCGGAAAAAATTTCCCCAGCTCAGGCTGCCGCCTTGTTGTGGGTCAGCGGGGGAGACCTCCCACCACCCCCGATTGACTGAGTGACATGTACTGGCTTGACTGACTGACTTACAGACGTGACTGATAGACTTATTGAATTGACTGACTGACCTACTGACTTGACTGATTAACTGACTGACATAGACTTTTTCACTGAAGAGGCCCCTGAAAGTGTCTGGAGCAGCTGATGCCTTACCGTCAGTTGTATAATGTACTGCGGGGTAAAATAGAACAGAAATCCATTACAGAATTTATGCACACTCGAGTACAACATCGACTTTAGTACCAGAACCTCTACCATCCACCTCAGCCCAGTAAGGCCACAGCATAACTATCCACTCTCCACAATCATCCACAGACACCAGCACCCACAGTTTAAGGTAAGAAATACTATTACTTTTGTTGCAATTGTAATCTTAAGCAGTGAAAAACCACATAATATATCGTGATAATGAACTACAATTACATATTCACTTTTATTTTGTAAGATCTGTTAGTCTAAAAAAAAAATTGTTTAGCTTTTTGGGGGGCTCCCAGGAACGTTACCATATTTTTCCCATAAGTTCTTCAGGTCATCTAACACGATTTTTACCTAACACGATGTTTTCAGAAATGTAAGTACCATGTTAAATGACGGTCTACTGTACATAAAAGGGCCCAAAATCTGGAACTCCCTGCCTGAAAACTCTAGAACTGCAGACTCAGCCACCATTTTCAAAACTACTTTTAAATAACATTTTATCTCCCTAACACACCCCATTATCAGCTAACCAAATGAAAACCACCTAATTTTGTTATTTGTATCATGAACACATCCAAAACAATATACAGTGGAACCTCCACTCACGAGTTTAATCCATTGCATGACCTTGCTCTCATCTGGATTTGCTCATTTGCAGAGTCAATTTTCCTCATTTAAATTAATTGAAATGCAATTAATTTGTTCCAGTGGAATTCCAGGCATGTGAAAATACTTCAATAATTTCCCTATCATCATCTGTGCAGTTTATTTATCTATCACAATTCATCTAATATGACATAATAAACAATATAAATAACATAGAAACCTGATATATACTCTAGAATGAATAAAATTTGTCATTCATATAGTGGTATCATCGGTGGATGAGAGTTTGTCTGGAGACCGGACAAAATACTCCTTGTAAAGTAAAAGGACACAGGTACAACTAATGTGACATTCTATTGTGGCAATGTTTCGCTCTCCAGGAGCTTTGTGAAGCCGTTACAAACAATACATGGACACAGAGGGTATATATAGGCTTAGAGTGAGGTGTAATACTAGTGATAGTAGTAGTGATATAAGTTGTAGTAGTAATACAATATGTTGGAAAAATTAATTTGCACATGAGTAAAAGGATATAAAAGCTATTACTTGGGTTGCATAAAAATAGGTTAGGCAAATATTTCTATTGGAGGTTGGATTAGAGAAGGTCTGTTTCAGTGTTCATCCTCTGTAATGTGCTTGTGTAGTATTAGCAGGAGAGACTATGTGATGGCAGAGTTTACTGTTTTCAGGAGGATTCTTGCTAAGACTTCAGAGATGGTGAAGCTGCCTTTGTTTTGTTTAATTGTATTAGAAACAGCGATTACTGCTGATTCAAGGCACTTGCGTCTGCGGAATTTAATTTCTTTCATCACTGCCTCCCAGCATACATAAGGGGGATTACCAACAGACCCCTGGCAGTCTTCAAGCTGGCACTGGACAAGCACCTAAAGTCGGTTCCTGACCAGCCGGGCTGTGGCTCGTATGTTGGTTTGCGTGCAGCCAGCAGCAACAGCCTGGTTGATCAGGCTCTGATCCACCAGGAGGCCTGGTCACAGACCGGGCTGCGGGGGCGTTGACCCCCGGAACTCTCTCCAGGTAAACTAATCGGGCGTCCCTGAATTTCAGGTCATGATTGGTGGAATTTCAGTGTTGTACACAAGCATTGTTCAAGTTATCATTGCTACATGCATAAATGTATTCTCTCATGTCAAACACTGCAAGAAGGTCATCAAAGTCCCTATGTATAAGGTGCTGATTGAGGTCACCAACAATTATGATATGCTGACAGTTGTGTTGTAGCAGAAGGGAGTCAATATTTTCCATTAGGAAGTTGATGGGGTCTGCATGTTGCCACTGAGGTCTGTACATTGCACATGCTAGTACAGAGGTACTAGTGTTTATGCAGAGCTCGAAGAACATCATTTCAAGATGTGTAGGGGTGGCAACATCAATGTGCTGGGCATGAACACTTTTAGAGAAGCACACAGCAACACCTCCTTACCCTTGCCTGTCTCTTCTCATCCATGAGGTGTAGCCAGCAATTCTTGCAAAATTTTCTGGAGTCCTGTCATCCAAAAATGTTTCAACAACAGCTATCATGTGGGGACGTCGAGTGTTTCACAAACAAATGTGTGAGCTCCCCAACATTAGTAATAAAAACCTCTAATGTTGGCCGACAGGATGCTGATGGGACTGGCCCCTCATGATGATGTGGTCAGCTTGAGGTGGTGGGTGTGTGGGAAAAGTAAGGTGCCTGCCCACTTGAGAGAGTAGGATACTGAGGCAGCTGTAGGGATGTAGGGTCTGTGGTCTTGGTATAAGGCACAATACCACCTGCTGGGTTGGGATAGGAGTAGCTGAGTGGGTGACGTGTGAGTGTGTTCACCAATTCAGAGATCCTGCTGGTTTTGTTCGAGAACAGGTTCTAAACAGGTGGTCCTGTCTGTCAAGTTCCTTTTTTCTTCCGACAGGGTCCTCCTGATGTCCTTTCTTGTAGCAGTAATTGCACTGGTATCTCACAGGCAGTTGTTGGCAGTGTGCCCTTCGGGTGACAGCGAGAGCACAGCCTAGGTGCCTAGGGGGTGGACTATGTTTGTTGCACCTCTTGTGTTTGCAGATTTGTCCTCAGGTTCTGCAGCTGGAACTTGTTAGTGGAAGGTGAGACAGCTGTAGATGTCTTCCTCCTCACGTCTCTTCCACGTCCTCTGCCCGTCCTCTTTCCAGTTCTTGACAGATGTGTCCCCCTTTTGTTTGTACTTAGTTGGGAGTGGTGATCAAGGTGAAGTGATAGTTTCCTGATTATTAACTGCAACTAAATCCTGGTGGAGAAACTCTGATCAGAATTTCTGATTTAAACAATGCTGGGCCCGATTTTGGAAAAGTGTGGCAGGTATGCTGAAGTGTAGGATCAGAGATGGTATGTGCACTTCAAGTTTCTGGCAGTGGCTGAGCAGAGATTGTCAGTGTAGGAGAATTAACAGATCCCAAAGGGTTCCTCATTGGGGAAGGGGGGGGGGGGGGGGGGATTTGTTCCCTTGTGGTGGTCAGAGGAATTGAGTTAGATCCAAGGTAGTGTTTTGAAACTTTGTCAGTCTGTGGCCTTAGCGATGACAGAATCCACCAGTTATTACCCTGAGTTAAGTCGTGTGGGGCTTCAGTCTTTGTCAAAAGTGCACATCACTGAGCAGCTTATGTCACTTGTGTAGGCTTGCACTGGGCCTTTACAATAGCTTGGAGGTTATCTAATGATTTGAGGAGCTCATGAAGTGCTTCCCTTTGATGGATTATCTTAGCGGAACTTTACAACAAGCCCAAGATTTGGCAGTCTTGATCTTTGGACAGAAGTCCCTGAGGTAGGGACTTCTGACCCTTCCTCCTGTAGCTCCAGGCTTGTATCCACATATACCACAGGATTATGGATATCCTTCAATTTTCTGAAATTTTCAACCTGGCTGCGACAAAATTCTTCTTCTGGAATGCAATCTGTGTGGCAGTAGTTGGAACAAGTAGGCTCCTTACATCTAAGAAGAATTTTGTCCCTTGTGGTATACCCACAAACACTGCAGTAACTACTGGGACAATAGCCAGATAGTGTAGATATTCTTGCTATTTTGCGATGTGAAGTCATCCCAGAGAAGGCTTTTAGGTTTGCACTGAAGTTCACAGGAGAGAGAGAGTGGGTGGTGGTATCGTGGGTGGGGTGGTGTATCGTGGGTGGGGGTGTTTATAGCAGGAGGGTAGTGAGGGCAGGCCGTGGGCCAATGAACTGGAAGTGTTGCCTTCTCACTATCACTTAATAAACACTGTTTATTCTGATAAATTAGATTCATATGCAACTCTTGGGTGTCTTTATTAAGGAAACGTTTCGCCACACAGTGGCTTGATCAGTCCATACAAGGGAGAATCTTGAAAAACAGGAGTAGAATGAGGTAATCAGTCCCTCAACCTTGAGTCGATATGGTCAGTCCATCAATCTTGAATAGAATACGGCATACGTGAGGAGAAGGAGCTTATAAACCGTAGGCAGGAGAGGT